AAGAGGCTGCGGCAGAAGGATTGCAAGTTTAAAGCCAGCCTCAGCAACTTAGCAAGGCTCTGAGAAACTTAGCAAGACACTGTCTCAAAATTTAAAGCAGGTGGAGGACTGAGATGTGGCTCAGTGGTAAAGCATCCGTAGGTTAAATACCCAGTACCAAAAACAAGAAGAAAAGAATGGGGCCCGGAGCAGTGGCTCAGTGATAGAGCGCTTGCCTAGCATGTGTGAGGCACTAGGTTTGATTCTCAGCACCACATATAAATAAAATAAAGGTCCATTGACAACTAGACAATATTTTTTAAAATTTTGCTTTAAAAAAATAAAAAATGGAAGAAGTTTTCACAATAGCTAAATTAAGGAATCAACCCAGATGCCCACTGATACACAAATGGATTAATAAATTGTGATACACACACACACACACACACACACACACACAAATAGAGTTCTAGTCAGATACTAAAAAATGAAATCCTGGCATTTTCTAGTAAATGAATTGAAATGGAGAATATTATGATAAGTGAAATAAGCCAAACTCAGAAACTCAAAGGTCAAATATTTTCTCTTATATGCAGTAACAAGAGTAAAATAAAGGGAGAGAAAGGATAGGATAACAAAGAACCAATCAAATGTAAATTAATAGATGAGTGAAAGCAAGTCTAGTAGAGTAGGGGAAGAAGAATAGGAGAGGGGGAAGATGGGAGGAAAACTGAGGGATCATGAATTGAAATAGATTTTCATGCATGTATGAGTTTATCAGGATTAACTCAACTATTATGTATAACTATCAAGCTCCAATTAAAAAAAAGAATAAAAGGAGTTTAAATATGTTCACATGTATAAGAAAAGAAACCAAGTGTAGAGTGAAAGGCCAAAAACAGGAATGGAAGAGATGAGCGCACCAGGCTCCCATACAAGGGTTAGCCAGCTCACTGCTTCAGCCATAAAGCATTATTTGCCCTAATTAAGTCCAGTGATCACAAACAGTTCCTATTGTAAACCATATCTACTTCCCTTTGAGGATACAGATGTTATCTAGACAAGGTTATGGGCAGATTATACAAATGGATTCTCTAGAAACAGAGTCATGGTCTCTACTCTCCTCCCCAGAGTTAGGCTGAATATATCCCTTGCCTGGGCCAGAGAAGGGTACTCCAGATTGAGAACCAATGCCCAACTCCCCCTGCCCAGGCAGGGAGAGCTCTAGCCCAGGATAGGCGGAGAGGGGAAATCTAAAAATAAAGCTCTCTGAAGAAACTGTCTTGCCTAAAGAGCAGCTTCCCACGCACACTGGAGTGCCACATCTGCGGGGGCTGGAAGCACGGGAACGGAACAATCCTGACCAAGTCACACAAGTATTACCCATTTTGAGGGGTGACAGCACATTTCTGGCTTCCCTCATCAGTGGTCCAGTGTCTAAGCTGCAGACCTGGGGTAAGGGCTTTGGTGAGAGCAGATAGGCCTTTCTTTGCCAGAAGGGAGACTGGAAACATGGCTGGTGCATTAGTCCAGCCTCTCTGTACCCTTCTCCTCCCCTCACAGTGGGAGATGAGTGCAGCAAATGCTCTCCTCACACAAGGAGTGGAGTTAAGGGTTCACTTTAGAAAAGACCTCAAAAGGTTCTGGTGGGCTTTGGGCTCAGAGAGGAGCTCCCTCAGCCCTGCTCCCACAATAGGGTCAGGGACTACCAACTGGGAAAAAAGAAAAGAAAGCACTGTGAGAACTGCAATTAGCATTGACATCGGTTAGCTATCGTCATCTCACACCCCAAGGACAGAGCAATTGTCATGTTGCCAGGCAACTGGCAAATGTAGCCTCCCCGCCCCCAGTAGATATCAGAGGCCACCAGAAAAGTTCAACCAAAGAGTTTAAGACAACCCCACACCTAAGCATTCAGCAGATATCTAAAGTAGTTCTGGTAATCCCACCACCTCCAAGGCTGTGCCCTTGGAGAGATACAATGAACTTGCAATCATTCTGCTGGAGTTTTGCCAGGAAGTCAGGGCAGGAAGAAGGAAACTAGCCCTAATTCTGCAAGGAGTCCACAGTGTTCCCTTATCAGTCCAACAACCAGGGAAGTTTGTACCTTGATCTGACACAGTAGTATACTGCACCTTAAGGGTCAGAAGCTCAACCTTTGACAATATCGCCAAGTGGCTTACAGTTCAATGTTATATATCTGATCCCTCCCCACCCTCCTTCCTAGGGAACACACTCCATTCTGTCCCATGATTCACAGACACAGCAAATCAGTGCAGTGGGTGGAGAGGGGGGATGGAAGCACAATATAATACCCAGAATGCAACAACCTGTCAATTCTTTGGTCTCAAAAGAAATCCTGTACCAGAACACTGTGATAGTTGATATGCTCAGATACAAATCCTGATGTCTATTATGCATATGTGGAAGGGGATGGGGGCCAAGTTTTCCCCTCAGAGCACAGATTGCAAGCAAAGTACTTTGAAAATTCGAGTGCTATTTGAATGCTGACTAGCAACAATCACCCAACAGTCTTTTACAATTAGAGCAAACTGAAATTTTCCTATACTGAGTCATTCATGAGCAAAAAGGAAGAAGCCAGCTCACAAAAGGGAGGAGATACTGACCATAAAATACACAACCTGAGCATACAGTATGAAGTGTTATTTTAGTACTGGGAGTACACACTCCCTACCCCACTAGTTAAACAAGAAGGGTTGGGCTGGCGCAGAGCTGCTCCCATCCAGCACCAGGCCTGGTGCTCAGAAAGGCAACTTACCTGACATACAAGGACCTCTTCTCACTTGTTCGGAGGGACCCTGACCCAGAACTCATGCTGCTGTTCATCATTTGTTCTCGCAAGTCATGTATCTTCGATTCAAAGCGACTGTACTCTGTCAGGGAGACAAGGGGAAAGACAGGAAAAGAATTAACCCAAGGAGCTTTCCCTGAGCTGGTGTGCCTGTGGCCAAAAAAACCAGAAGGACACCTGGCTTCAAAACAACCAGAGCCAGCTCAATCTTTGCTTTGATAATCAAGTGTAGATAGACATAGTTTCTCTACCCACAATCTAATTGACTGAGAAAGCACCTAGAAAAGGAGTAGCATTAGGGCATGTCAAATGGAAACAGCTTTCATCTGCCTCAAAATCTCACTGATCCTTAAAAATAAAACAACTGGAAAGAGGTTCCAGTGCAGCCTTTATAAATCTTTAGAGCAGACACTAAGGCCCAAGGAGAGCAGATGGGCAAGGAGACTTTCCCAAAAAGCCAATGCAGAGAACAGATGGCCCTGAGATGCAGGGCGGGGGGCTGGAAAGGACCAAGGCCATTATATCATTGTTAGGAGAGGACAGTTTTTTCTGGGATGACTTTGTTTGGGGGGTAGTAGAACCCAGTACAAACAGGCTAAAAACAAACAAACCTTAAAATCACATAAGGAGAATTAAAGCTAAAGCTCCCCTGAGATACTTTCCTCCTAACAAGTCTCATTGGCTTCTGTAATATATTAAAATATAAATTCTCCCAAATCTACAAGTCTGTTGACACCTCTCACCCTTAAAATCATCTAATCACTTAGGCCCTTCGTCCATGCCCAGCATTGTAGCCCACTGAGACTATTTCAACTGCCAGGAAATGTTGCTACAGGTTTATGACCAATTTAAGAAAATTGACATAGCAAAATTAACTCTAGTCATACAATTATTATAAAAGGCTTTTTATAGGGTTGCTTTGCTGTGACATTCTCCCAGTACATTTAAAATATGATATTCACACTTACCACACACACACAATTACACAACATTTTTCAGTCTATAATTGCTGCATAAAATGGGGTATATCTAAGGCACAGGCTGTGGAAATGGCAGATGACAGGCATACTTCTCCATGACAAGCTGGGGTCGAAGGTTGGGCAACTGCTTTAAAACACACACACACACACACACACACACACACACACACACACACACTTTTAGGGGGAAAAATTCCACAAAAGCATTTTCATGCACCATAGAGGGCTGGCAAGAAGCATCCCCACCTAGTCTGTGTGACTCTGCAGGAGAGAACAAAACACCTGCTCCAACACCTGCCGCTCCCCCTTGCCTCCCTAGGCAAAGCATCCTGACCTTCAGCTGGGTGAAAAGGGAAATGCTAAAAAGCCTAAACAGGATCAGTGGAGTCTGAAGTCATGCAAATAGCCTCTTCTCAAAAAATTTGTTTCTTTTTGTTCACCATGATATCAAGGAAGCCAACTGGTTAAATTCATGTGATCTTTCATTCATCACGTACTGGTATTATGGTGATTTGTCCTCATTAACTACTCCTGTCCCTGAAATCCTGGAGGAAGCAGTTGAGTCACTGACTCACCCATTAAGTGTTGGGGAGAAACAAGAGACAACAGCTGGACAACGTCCCTGTTCTAAGGGTTACACGGCAACACATCAATATCAATGAGGTGTCCCAAAGTAAAGGCAGAGGATGGTGGCCAATCTGTCACAGAAGCCCTGGACGCCCAAGGCACAGCAACAGAACAGTGCACCTCTAGAGATGTCTGGGCACTGGCCTTAACCCTGGGCTTGGCCCTCTAACCCTGGTTGGGGATCATGTCTCACTCCTTCCTTTCTGGCTTTCTTTCAAACTCACTCACTAAGGAGAGAACCGTGTGAAGCAGAGACTTCTTTCTGACCAGGGAGTCCTTTCTTAGGGAAGATGAGTAAAAGAACTATGCATAGAACCCAGAACAAAAGAAAACACCCAACTGTCAGGTATGGCATCACAAGCCAGTAATCCCAGCAACTGAGGCAGGAGGATCACAAATTCAAGGCCAGCCTTGGGAACTTAACAAGATTGTCTCAAAAAATAAATAAATAAATAAGAAGGGCTGGGGCTGTTGGACCATGGTAGAGCCACCCCTGGGTTCCAAACCCATGACCTTAAAAAAACCACTAACAATCTATCCATAAGCCATGTTTCCCCTCTTAAAACTTGTTTATATATTACCTTCTTTGGAAATGACTTGCCTGCTGAACTCCAACTTAGCAGCAGGTCATGGCAGTTGCTTAGTAACTACACTTCTTTAAAAATCCCTCAAAAAACAACCACCAAACCACCATTTCCTCAAAGCTCCTAATACAAGGTTGATAATTCTGGGCCAGAGGGCCCACTTAAAATAGACTACAGAAGGAGAACAAAGCTACTGCTTTAAGGAATTCGCTCTGTTTTTACACATGCTACTAAGATCTGAAGTTTAATAAACTGTATTTTATTCATTATTTTTGCATTCCAATGAACCCCTTAGAAAGTTCCAACTGCTGATCAGTCTCTGGCATCTATTTGTAGAGTTATCTAATGTCCAATAGGCACAGAGTAGCCTGTGACTAAGTGATAGTTGGGTAAATGAGGAGCAGTTCAGAAAACTGTCCAAATCCACTTTTCTATTCTGAATAAACCTAATAGTTTATTTAACTTATGGCTGCCAGCTTCATTGAGAGCTTGGAAAGGTAGTTAAGAAATACACCCATTTACTTTTGTTCCTGAGGTTAACTGCTAGGAGCAACTGAGGTTTACATTTGTTAAACACCCCTTTGAGATGTTAATAACCCACAATGGGCATCTGGTTAACAGAATGCCCATACAACAAAGGAAAAATTTGTTCTAACAACAACAGAAGACAAAAAAAAACATGGAGGTGTCATAAGACAGTATCTCATATTTACAGTATACCAGTTTCCCAGGACAAAAGCTTCACCTAAAAAATCATTTGAAAACCAAGACTTCACAACTTGCGGAGGGAGGTTCTTCCTTCCCCTCCACTAGCATAGCTATCACTGAAGGGCATCTATTAGGTGGAAGTCACTGTGTAGGAAGCCCACCTGACCAGCCTCTAACCCAGAGGGAACCCTTCAAATAGGCTGCTTTAAAGAAGCAAGGATTATTACTAAAATCTCATCTAAGAATTTGTACTTTATTCATTTTTTTCCCATTCAGAGGAACCAAACCATTTGTGACCCACAAAGATATCCACAATGAGTCATCCTCTCCTGCCTAATTACTTTTTACCAGCTACTAATCACAGAAAGAGAAAGGAGGTGGAGGGAACACAACCAGAAGTCAGTATCAAAAGAGAGTTTGATCAAGATTTCTTCTGGGTGCAGCAGCACACACCTGTAACCCCAGCAACTTGGGAGCCTGAGGCAGAAGGACCACAAGTTTAAAGCCAGCCTCAGCAACTAAGCAAAATTCTGTCTCAAAATTTTTAAAAAAGGAGGCTGGGGATGTGGCTCAGTGATTAAGTGCCTCCTGGGTTCAATCCCAGGAACCAAATAAATAAAAACTTAAAAAAGATCAAAATTCAGGCTGGGATTGTGGCTCAGTGGCAGAGTACTTGCCTAGCATGTGTGAGGCACTGGGTTTGATTCTCAGCACCACATATAAATAAATAAAATAAAGGCCTGTTGACAGCTAAAAAAAAAAGATCAAAATTTTAGACCCCACTCCTGACACACTGAATCAGGATCTAATGAGGAGGGCCCAGGAACCTGCATTAAATGAGTATTGATGTGATTCTAATACGCAAGAAAGTTTGAAACTGCTGATGTTAACTTACAATATTGAGTTTAATTGTGCTAGTTCAGAGAAACAAGGAAAGAATCCTGCAGACTGCCTCCAAAGGAAGGAAGGACACGAGGGTTGGAAAGACCTCAAAAGCAGAATTTGGCAACAAAATTGCAAATCCTGTGGGAAAGCAAAGTGCTAAAGAGCCCACTGTCTAATGTGTCTGCAAAGAAAGGTGATGAGTTTACATTTCTTTTCAATTATAAAACTAACATACAATTTAAGTGTGTGTGTGTGTGTGTTGTTGAGGATGGAACCCAGAGCCTCTGGCATGCTAGGCAAGCATTCCACCCCTGAGCTATATCCCCAATTCCTGACTTTAAAAATAAAAGAACTAACTTTTTTCCTAGACATTTCCTTATCATTTCCCCATCCTACTACCCAGAAGTATCTCCTGTTAGTATTTTTAGTATGTATCCTTCCAGGCTAATTTCCATGCATATATTGTTTATATACATACATTCACAACTCACATAGATTTACACACATTTTTCTCATTCATATGTCATGGAACCCAATCCATAGCAGTGCATAGAGACAGACAGACCTCAATCTTATTGGCTACATAACATTCCATATAATGGGTAGATTAATTTATTCAATCATATCATGATTGATGTATATTTAAATTGTCTACAATTTTTAGTACTACAATCAACGCTGCACTGGAGCATTGTGTGAGCATGTCTATAGCATAAATTTGTACAAATAAAACTTCAAAGACAAACTACATGCACACAAAAATTCTGGATGCCAGGCATGGTGCCCACCTGTAATCTCAGCTACTAGGGAGGCTAAGGCAGGAGGATTGCAAATTTGAAGCTAGTCTTGCTAACTTAGCAAGACCCTACCTCAAAAAAAAGTTTTTAAAATGGGCTGGGGATATAGCCCAGTGGCAGAATACCTGCCTAGCATGTATGAGGCCCTGGGTTTAATCTCCAGCACTGCCAAAAATGGGGGACTAGAGTATGGTTCAGTGGTAGAGCATTATCCCAACACACACACAAGGCCCTGGATTTAATTCCCTGCCCTTACTCCATAAAAAAAAGTTAAAATTTACTACCAAATGAACCCGCAACATTCTAAAGTCATTCTGAGACTTTTCGGGACTACAAGTAAGGATAAACTGCTATTTTAACACTTCCAGGAGATTTTTGGTCTCTGAAGAAGTGGCAACAGAATTTACTTTTGAGGGCAGAATTTACCTTTGTTAGGGAAAACGCTTTAATAAGCCTTTTTATTATGCAAATGTAAGGCCAAGATTTTATTCTAGAATGGAC